AAAAAGGCCCTACATTGATTTTTTATTTTCCCTCTTTATCTGCAAATTGTCTCTAAACAAAACAAAATGATCAATCCCTGTTAACTTTTTTTCGCTAGAGTTATTGGAAACTCAATATGCACAATACAAAGATTCACAAAAAATTTAAACAAGTCTTATATATTGTTATATAGATGTCCTAGAATTCATGATCATTTACTATTTCATTTGTGGAGTAATTTTACTTTTAATTCAAATTTTTTTTGGAAAGTTTGCAGGTTAATTAAGTTATGGGCACATGTGATTTTATGCAAGCTTGTTTGGTAAGTAATGATGATGAGAATTACAAAATAAATATTTTGCTGCATGCCAAGTTGATTAATATGTCCAAGTTGTAACATAAACTTTGTAACATATTGCAAAAAAAGAAAAAAGAAGTTTGTTAGTAACATATTTTCTTATACTCTCTATTTTGGTAAGAGAGAGAGAAAAAAAAATAAAGAACACAAATGTCCAAGTTGATTATAATGTCCTTTGGTACGCAGTAGATCACAAGACTTGAAAATGATTGAGATCCAATAAAATAGGATAAGGGATGATATATACTTGCATTTAGATTTTACCTTTGTCTACCAAACTGGGACTGAATATAACCCTTGTATGGCTCAATCATTCATGGTGTTAGAATATAATATATTGCTTTTATTGTTTAGGCGTTAGTATTCATAAAGCACGTTTTTAGTGGGATGACTACGGTCCCGTAACGGTATGATTCTGTTCCTTTATTTTAGATGGTTGGATATTTACAATTATTACTGACCTTTAGATACAGAGAAGTTGTATATATATATATATATTTGGTACAAAGAGAAGTTGTATATTAACTATACACATGGTGTGATCTAATTGATTTAAATAATAAAAGGAATCATCCCATTACGAGACGGTAGTATTTTCTTTTTTTAGTTATAGTTAGTAGCATTTTACAGTGTATTGTATTTAGTATAAAACCAAACATTATCGTGCACAGTGTATCAATTATTCATTCATTCAATAAGATTTGACTTTTCATTTTCCTTTAAACTCTTTCTCTCTCCCTCATGTTCTTCATTTTCTTCACAAAATCTGATAGATTTGAGTTTTCAAATCATCATTAATTTGAAACATTATGCAATTGCTAGCAAAATTTTGTATATAATATCCTTCCTAGTTGGCTGATCTCACACACGCATAGGAACTCGTGCAACATGTTGAATTTACATATGAATTCATTATTCAGTATAATAATATGCTAGTATTTCCTTTTTCTTGTAAAAGGTTATTATCCTGGAAGAATAACGTGATGTGATGAAAAGTTGGGCCAATTTTTTCAACCCAGTGGGCTTATGTGCTCGAAGAATCCAGCGTAATTTAAACTTGGTAAATTCCACAAGAGAATAGTTAAACTGGGCCAGAGTCCAGACAATAAGCGCTGCATAAGCTGATAAGCATAAGAAAGCATCAATCAATTTCATAAAGAATTTTTGGCCCAGGTTTAAATTTATACAAAATAATAGTACTGGGCAATCTAGGGCCAAGTAAATCAAGATATATAGGCTATTTCTACATGTTGTAAATTAATAAGAATTCATATTTCTCTACAGGAAGCAAATCTTCACATTTCATATAGACCTTATACATATATAACACACCTCAGGTTCAAGTAATCAAGTTGGTGTTTATATAGTCCATGGAAAGGTATCCTTTAATCTTTACATGACAAAATGTGTTAAATATAAAACACTCACGATCATGCATGCAACTCTCATGCAAACCATATTCACTAATAGACTGCAAGAAAGAAGGAAATAAGATATGCCTCTTAACTATATATATATAATTGCAAGATATAGCAAAGAAAAATGTGTTCGGGCACCGGCCGGCCGATCGTCTTATTCGTGGGGATGGAGCTAGTGAGCGATGGTGCACGTTAGCAAAACTGTTTGGTGTCGTTTGTGGTTGCCGGGATCTTGAAATGCCATAACTTCCCCACAGCCCCTACTAGATTCTTCTCACACAAAAATGAGCGCGCGTAGTCTCTCTCAACCGGGCGGTCCACGTCGTGCACAAACACGTGTATGGTCCCCGCCTTCTTCCTCTGCCTCGCCATCACGGCCGCCAAGTATATGGCCGCCATCCTCCCCGGCGCCTCCGGGAAGTATCCCCGCGGCGCGTCTATCATGATCGCGTCCCACTCCGTGCCGTACACATTGTCCGACAACGTGTTCAACGCTAACCTGCACCACACGGCCACCACCAAGTCGAGTTTTAAGGTTACACAAAAATATTATTATTTTTCCAACAGATTTTAGACCATCTCCAATGGTTCATGCATTGCTCCATCCCATTGAGCTCCAAAACTTTAATGTGACATTGAAAATATGTAAAAGTCTGAATTCTAAACATCTTATATTCTATATTATATTATTTATTTTATATTTCTTTCTTCACCAGCCAATTATTATCTTGAAAGCCAATTATTATCTTGAAAAGTCAATACTTCACTCTGACTCCCGACATGATATGATACCTGCACTTGTCGTTACCGCGTAGAAACGAGTTTTGGGCCCAACAAGTGGGTTCGTCCCGATAGTGTCGGTTGAGAAGCTGGGTGGCCTCCGAGACCTGAGTTCGATAGGACACGGCCTCGGCCCGGATGCCCGGAGCATCGTTGAGGACTTTGATGATCCAATTGGGTTCCTCCTCGAGGAAGAGAGTCGTCCCGCCAGGGTTCAACGAGGCCCACATGAGGGAATCGTGGCCCAACCCAAAGACGAGGAAGTTGCACGGCGCTACTGATCTTAGCACGTCCAACGTGACGGTGATTTCGGGAAGCGTTTGTTGAGGTATCACCTGAGTCGTGGCGTAGTGGACAACAGCCTCGAGATGTTCAGAGACGAACGGGCAAGTGTAATAGCGACTTGTTCGGGAGAGGAGAGCCACGAGCAACGCGCCGCCAAGGAGGCCGGCCACGATGGGGCGGAGGTAGGTTTTCTCGGTCTTCGAGTGTGCTTTGGGGCGGTATTGGGTCTCGTTACTGGTTTTCGTCATCTTTTTGGTTGTTTTTTTTTTATATTGATCGATGTTTGTATGTTTGATGTTAGTGAATGGTGTTTTGAGGTGTGTATATAAATGAAATTGATGAGTAGATTGTTATGTTTAGCTGAAATATGTTAGGCGTGTGGAGATATGAGAGAATCTTTTTCATTAATGTCATCACTTTCCTTTCTTTTGTACTATCATGCATATGTTTTTGGTGGCTAATCTGGGGAGTTGGTGTCGAGGGCAATGAATCTCTCACTTTCCTCCATCGCTTCTTTATAGATTACACGGTGAAAACGTGACAATTTTAGAGTTAGAGAAAAATCCATGATTTATACTTGTTTTTATTGCTTTATTATTGATCAACAACATTAGCTCTTCTATGGTAAATAACGTTTTTCAGAGTTAAATTAATAATTATAGGTGAATTAGATGTTTGAAATAACCTTTTTTTTGTTTTTACTAAAAAGTTAATTGTGAAAGAAAGTTACAGATGATTGTAAAATTAATTATTTATAAATATCAAATAATCAACCAGCTATCAATTATCTGACTAATTAAATTATCTGCCATATGTGATGCCCAAGCGTTCATATTACTTGAATAAAATTGACATGGGCCGGGAATGTGTGTCATTCGCATTTCTTTTTCAATTCAGTACTCAATACCTATTCGGCCTATATCATATTTTCAGCCCACAAGTGAAACAGTTGAGTCAAAGCTAAGCACATGGCCCAACGAAAAGTAAAATACCTCGACTTATTTTATTTTTAATTACCAACCCTCTATCGTCTTTCTCTCTCTAGCAAATCCCTTGTTCAGCTCAAGCGCAAACCCTCGCCACCACCAAGCGGCTGATCCATCATTTCACTCTCTCTCTATCAATGTCTCAGGTCGATTATCTTTCTTAATTCTGTTTATTCATGCTCCCCTATTTTCTCTTGTTGTTAAATGATTGAGAGAGTCATGGTTGTTTCGAATGTAAACTGAATAGATCTGAATTGTGTGGATGAAGTTATTCTAAGATCTGTTTAATGTAATTGATATTTTTTTTTTTCCTGTATGTTGTTGAATTTCAGGTTGATAGCAGAAACTCCTCCGCAGCGAAACGTGCTCGGACAGATGGTAAGCTGATTATCTTGATTGGCGGTTCTTTTCAATTTAAGCTTTGAAGTGTTTATTGCGATGGAAACATGAACATGTGTAAGTTTGTTGATTTGATGTTTATGTTAGAAGAACATCTTGATCTGGTGCAATGGGGCTGTTTCTTAGTTTCTGATGGTTTGTTTTCCATTTTCATGTGTATCTCTTATTTCTTAATAATCTCAAATTGGTTGTGTACTTTTATTTCTGGTGTGAAACATATCATATGTTAGCACTTCAAAGCAACAAAGTTGGAAAAGATTGTTGATTTTATTGTTCCAGACTTTGTATATGAAGAGACGAAATTTCACCCTTCAGTATGTAGATTATCACGTAGTTTGTTTGTTCCAACTGTATGTATTGAGTAATCTTCTGATGCATATGGCCGACTACATCAGGATTCACTTACAGAAATTGCTTTAACTTCAACTTTTGGAACACCCCACGATAAAATATAAACTTTTTAAAATGCTAATCTTTCAGTAAGCATTCTCTTCAAAAAATATAAAATTAAAAGCTGTGTATGTTTCCTTTTCAGCTGGCACGAGGTCTTGAAAAATTGGCCTTGTTTTGTTATTTAATTTGAAACCTGTCCCATATGTAGGTGGCCGTAGGGAAGATGACTGGACCTGTCCTAGCTGTGGCAATGTAAATTTCTCTTTTAGGACGACATGTAATATGCGCAACTGCACTCAGCCAAGACCTGCTGATCACAATCCGGTAAGAACTATAACTATTAGAAAATGAATGTATGATGTTGATCTATTTTTATTAATTGACTACATTATAATTTATTTTATGTCGGAGTTTATTGTCAAGTTATATATGAATTATGTACGCAAGTGTTATATCAATTTGCACTTCTCTACATGGGTTCTTATGAATAACTATTAGATATAGAAGAGAACTGAGAACGTTCAACTGAACTGTCGTTTATGGACTGTGAGTTTGGTATAATTCTCTTCCTCTTTTTCTCGTTTTCCTTTGAACGAAAAAAACAAAGTAATTTCATAAGTCACGTTGCTTAAAGTCTCCAGAAGTAGGTTTCGGTATATTTATTTTATTATCTGCTTGTTCTGGTATAGATTTTACCATTCATGGAGAAGGTATATAATAGAACTTGTTATGTTCCGTATATAATGGTATAAATCTCACCTTATTCTTTATCTGGAAAAAAATATCTCTCTCTAAGTTTTGTGTGTTTTTCTTTTCAATTAATTTTGTGAGCATCTTAATTTCGTCTAGCGTTTGCCTGATCTATTAAGTCTATTTCAGAAATATGCTGCCAAGCCTGTGCAAGCGCCTCAAGGATACTTATCAGGTCCCCATGGCCATGTAGGCTCTGGTGGACCCTCCTCCATGTACATGGGTATACCACCTTATGGCTCTTCTGTGTTTAATGGAACATCTATGCCTCCATATGATGTTCCATTTTCTGGAGGCTCAGCATATCACTATAACTACTCTGGCCGGTTTTCTGGAGGGAGCCCTTTTCGGCCCTTACCTTTTTCCGGGCCCCCTTCCTACTCAGATGGACCAATAATGCGAAACAGTATAGTCTCTAACATGGCTGTAATCTCTTACATTCAAGTACATAGCTTGTTTTTTCATGTCCCTTGTCTTTTCTTACCTTGTAGGTGGCATGTATGGGTTGCCACCAGTGATGGATCAATATGGTGTTGGCTTCCGTATGAGCCCTGGCGTGGTAAAGTTTCTGTTTTCATTCATCATTGTCTGTTTCTTTGATGGAAGCTGTGATTCGCTTAACCCTATTTTTATTCCTTTTTTTTTGGCGTGCTTGGGTGTGTGTGCATGAGAGTTAGTTGCATGGATTGATTTGTCTTAATAATAGCAATGTGGTGTCGTTGTCTTTATTGGTTTCGTCTTTCAAAGGAGGAATATGATTATTGTCTTGATTAAAAATTTTATTGTAATCTTCTCCAGGGTCAAAGACCTGGGTTTTTCCAGGAGGAGAAATCTCAGAAGGCGGGTGGTATGTGATACTACCCTTGAGTCTAAATCTGTTATGATATTACAACGAAACTAAAATTTCTTCTATATTTTACTTATGAATTGACATTTACTATTTTGTTTTGGTAGATGTAACTCGAGACAATGACTGGGCCTGTCCCAAATGTGGGAATGTAAATTTTTCGTTTAGAACAGTTTGCAACATGAGGAAGTGCAACACACCTAAGCCTGGATCTCAGGTTTGCATTCCAATCATTATTTTCTCTAACACATAAATCAAATGTTATCGAATTTGGCCTGATCTGAAGTCTTTCCTATGCACTTCCTTAAGTTGTGTTTTTAAGTTTATGGCTATTTATGCAGGGTGGCAGAACTGGCAAGAATTCGAGTAAGTTGTATTTCAGAATACTGTATTCTCTTACACCACAAATTGGTAAAGAGCATTCTTGCAACGAACTGCACAGTGTACTTATAATATTATGATTTTTAGAACCAGACATGCCAGAGGGGAGCTGGAAGTGTGAGAAATGCAACAACATTAACTACCCTTTTAGGACCAAGTGTAACAGACAGAACTGCGGTGCTGAAAAACCTACTGAGACGAGCAAATCTCATCCAGATTCTGTTGACACAAATGATCAGGTCTGTTTTGTTGTGGTAGTTGTACGCCGTGTGATTCTTTGCTTATCAATCGTTGTATCCTTGTATCCTTCATCAATTTGTAACAAAACAAAACATGTGCATTCTAAGAGCTCTCATGTTTTAGTTTTCCACTTTGATTCTGAAGGCGTGATGTGTTTTTCTCATCTCTGCTTTGGTTTTCAATGGGTCGTGTGATTAATAATAGTTGTCTAATGTTCCAGTGAGTTCTAGACGTGTGTCTGAGAAGGTCCAAAGTCCGTCCAGTCCAGCGTTGCTCAGTGTTGGTGTCTGAAAGTCAGTCGTGTGTCTCTTCCTGTTGCTGCAGTTGTCGAGTTACTCAGCCGTCTTATGATTATTCGTGTCAGGTTGTATTAATAATAACACAGGTGTCGTTTTACCGTGACAAAGTTTGCATTTTTACGTGTCTTGTCGGGTTGCTCTCGTTGGATTCTGAATTTGGTTGCTATTCTCTAGGATTTGTCTGTACTATTTTGCATATTTATTGACACTTTGCTGCTACTTTGGTCTTGAGTTTGGTTTAAATGGTCCGGGTTCTTCTAGAGTCCTATTGTTTGGGCTGTCTTGAAGTTTGATGAAACTGTTTGGGGGATTGATGAGTGAGTAGAGATCTTGTATTGTGGTCTAATCACAGCAAAATCTAGTTATATACAAACTCCCACATGACTTTTATTTAAATAAAAAAGGTAATACTGAACTTGGTTATTTTGAAGGATAAATGGAGTTCATTGCTAATATGTTGATTAAGGATATAACTTTTTATAATTACCAAATTTTGTGATGGCCAAAAGTTGGGTAGTTGGGTGAGTGTCTTTTGTCCTGTGGTGTAGTAACTAGTAATTATGCATTCGCTTCATATGTCAGTATCACATAATCTNGTTTTTTTCTGGATGTGTTTGTGTTTTTTTTGGTTGATAAATGATAATCCTCTTGAAATTTTGGTTTCTGAACTGCGTACAATCGACTGTAAAAATATTGTACCGTCAAAAGAAACTAAAAGACACGTAAAACATTGACGATACCACTTGATGAGTATTGGTTAATTGGTTTACTTAGATTTTCTGATTTACCCACTATGCTTGCCGTTCAGCAGGATTAATCTCATAGCGTTAATAGTTACTCCGTGTTAAAACTTAAAAATACATGTTGTGGGCAGCATATCTTTTTGCAAATTAGTTGTTGTGATATCTTTATTTTTATTTTATTGATACTTGTTCTAAAGATGGAGGGAGAGAGAAAACAATATAAAAAATAACGAGTGAATATTAATAACCAGGATATAGAAATAGAAAGAAATAATAATAAATCTAGTAACTAGATTTAAAGGAATTTGATATACGGATAAATCAGTCAACGTTAAATATCCGAAGGTAATTTTTAAATATTCGAAGGTTTTTAAATTACGACAATTTTTAAGAAATAGAGTTAGTAAAAGCTTTTATTAATTACCAACCTATAGCAAAAGTTTTAAGTTTTCACCATTTCTTAAAACTGTTTTTTTTTTAGATAAACAACAAGAAATTAATGACAGTTAAATGTATTATCTTTTCATTTTTCGATAATGCATTTACTCTTGGGTTGTAATTCAAGATGTCATCCAAGAGGGCTAAATAACATTACTAAAAAATTAAGGTATGGAAATTTGGTTTCTTTTGCGAACACAATATTTTAAATTATCAAAGAATTTTAAAAAAATAATCATTCGTTTGTTTTTCTCTTTAATCGAAAAATATAATTGGTACTGTTTTGAAAATTTTACTAATATTTGTGTCAAGCACCAAACGAACAATCATACACCATATCAGACGAAAGAACCGAAATTAATAAAAATTGTTATTCATTTTTATTTTTACTTATATCTTAAGGTTGATTTCTAAATCAAATCCCCCTTATATATAATTTCAAAATGTGCTGAGCCTAAGTGGTAGCCTCGCATGCTTCAGAATCCTACTTGGCGAAAAATCATGCTTCGTAATTTGGTTTGGATAAAAAAGAATGTTATTCTAAATCAATAATTTTAGGTTCAAGCATTCCATAAATATTGAAAAGCTAATTTGGGTAATTCCATAATATTTTGATTAATATAACCCTTAGTTTGTTTTATAAACTTGCTTATTGTTGTTTATATGACTAATATAACCCTAAAATTTGTTTGGAATCTCTCATTTTTCAAAATTGAATATTACGATCAAAATTATTAATATATCAATTTTTTATACATATATATTAAGTTTATATATATAATATCAAATCAATAATGTCTTGATGAACTTTTCAAATCTATATTATAAATATAAAATAATTAAATAATTTTATTTATATTTATAATTAAAATTAAACTATCTATTAATATTAATTCAAAGAAATATAATTATTTAAACTAACTTAACTACAAAGTAGTTATCAGATATAAATTAAAAAAAATATATAATATAAGATGGTAAGTCATGTAAGTGACGGTACCAATTTAAATATAAATAATAATATATTTTCCAAAAAAGTATTTAAAACAAAAACAATTTTTGTTGTTATTATTATTTAATTTAAAATATAATTTTTTTAAGTACCCGTGTAGTACACGGTATTGTACTAGTATTTAATAAGATTAGAAAGACGTAATGGTTGAAAGTTGAATAAAATATATGGTTATTTTATCATAATTACGAATTAATTCGAGAAAAAATATTTTCTGATTCATACTCATTAATTAAAAAACAACGTAAATCATTACTCAAACCATATAAACTTTGTACATTCCTGAGTCCCGAATCCCCAAACCTTATCCTTCTCATTTTTGGCAACGGTTTGAAAGATTAAATTATGATGATATTTTCAATTTTTTCCTTTCTTAAAATTTCTAAGAACCAACTTATGTTCACCCGGTCACCCCTACTAAAGATCTAAAACTCAAACCATCCGAGATGTAAATCAACAAGGATTCTTGCAAGATTGCTACAACAATTTACATAATGCATTTCCTAGAGTATACATGAACATGCATCTACGTTTTTGCCCTAAAGCCGATTCGTCAGCATCTGTTCCAGTCAATCCTTTCTACTTCTCAACTCAAGGCATGCCCTCAATAAGAAAACATAGCAATCAAATTACAGAAAATTTGCAAGATATCATCATCAACCGTATTTGCCCTAAAGAGAAATCACATTTCAACTCGCAAGCTCATAATCAAAATCTTTCGCTGGCTACTTAAGTTTTGGGATCTTTGGTGAACAGAATCTTACTACACCGTTACTTAGAAACAAAAAAAAACCAAGAAAACAAACAAAAAAACCAACAATGCTTGCAAGGGTTTCAATATATATTAGAATAGTAGTCAGCCTCGTATGGTGCTTTGAAAAGTTGGAATTCTTGAAAGTTGGTGTTCGTGGCCACAGATTGAACGTTTGTGTGAATCGCCATCGATTGCTGCCTGTTAAGCCATAAATCTGAAGAGGAGAGTGGAACTCCTTGTGGCACTGCATGGCTCGTCATATCGTGCATTGCTGCACTCTGCTGGAACGTGATGTGTGAATCCCAGGAATTGCTTGACAGAAGAGAGAGAGCACGATGAGGTGCTGCTGCATCTACCAAAAGGCAAAATCGATGATTGTTATATCTAACAAATAACTCCTACACATCAAGAAAAAAACGCGCTAGCTGTCTGATTCGTTCGAAACCATGAAATGACGACTGTAAAAAACGAATCTTGAATGTATATTTACCTGAAATAGAAAACAGACCTGGATTAAAAGCCTGAAAAGTGGAGTTGTTGGGAGCCGAAAGTCCACTGGTCCCGTTTTGCACACTCATGATGTGTGGCGATTTGGTTAATCCTAGCATATTCACCCGTTGATCACTACTAATTCCATCTCCACTCGAAAACCCGTTTGTAAGAGTGAACTTTGTGGTGCGTGTGTTATCCCACACGGAATTCGACTGAGTTACAGGAGGATTGTTCAAGAGAAATCCCATCGTCTGGGTCCCACCTGAAAGCAACAGCCCACTTATCAGTTCAGACACTATAATATAATCCAACTTATGTTTAGTTAAGTATAGTATATACAAACAATAGAAATCAGAATCTGTACAATATGTTTACCGTTAAAGGTTGATGAGAGTCTGGGGGAGTTAAACTGAATAGTTTGCTGTTGTGGCTTGCGGCGCCGTGCATTATGATCAGACAGTCGTTTCCGACAGCTGCGCTTTTTCTCATCAAACTCGGACAAACTATGGAACCTTCACAAAGACTCAATGAAAGTGTTATTATTATTATTATTAGCTCTTCAGATCCCTCAAATTGGCAAACTATGAGACATTGCATCAAAATTGAGCAATATATGGGCTAAATATTTCTTTTTGTCAAAAGAACAATTAATTACCTGCTGCATTGCTGGCAAAAGCGACGTTCAAGCCCTCCAACAATAACCTTTGGGCATTTCGAGTGGCTATCGCAAATCTTATGCTTTTTGTGATACTCTTTGGCATTCGAAAGATCGGTATTACAGCCCTGCACTTGACAGTATACCGGACCATTTTGCCCCTGCGTCTTGTTCTTTTTCATTGCCCCTGAGGATGGAATCGGCATCACAGCATATGACGTGCTCTTCACCGTGTTGTTCTCGAAATAAGTCCGCTTCCCGAGCTTCAAACCAATCGATTGCTCCCCTGAGCTGACAAAAGAAGGGGGAGAATTTCTAGAAAATTCTGTGCCTTGAAATGCTGCTATTTTCTTGCTCCCATTTCCAGTGCAGCCCTCGAACGATGACTGAAATCTGAAATTAGGCTGTGGCTGAAGATCATATTCGGCAGATGAGTCGGTAGAAGCTGAGATAGAGCTCTTGGCCGAGGAATTGTGGTTATCGCTTGAAGTCAACAAATTAAACTGCCCAGGATTGATTTCACCTTCATCCACAATCATCCACTCCATTAGTTGTTGTTGTTTTCTCGGGCTTTCCGTAGCTCTGGACCCGAACGAAACAATGTTCTCCCAATCCCACTTTGTACTCCACTCCATCTCGGAATATTGGCTCATTAAACAGAACAGATTAATTAATTATCTAGCTGCAGAGGTTGCATTGTAGGCTAGAGCTGGATTTGAGAATTATAAAGCAAGTCTAGTCAAAATTTAGCCAAAAAAAGAAAAGCAGTTGGGGAAAAAGAAAAATGATGGATTTTAATGAGCACTTAGCACAATGCACCTTAGATGTGAGAAAAGATCACCCATGAAGCAAGAATTCCCTGTTCAAGGAATTGACCAAACTGCAAATAAATGTAGAGAAGAGTGTGTTAACTACTTACAATCAGTACCAAACTCCATCTTCAGA